CGCGCGCCTCCGCGCAGCGGGCGGGAGCCGCGGAAGGTCCCTCCCGCCTTCCCCGCGCTGCACAGCGCTGCCCTGGCGCTCCGAGCCGCGAAATCCATCCCCTTGTTCGCTGCTCTGTCCCCGCAGACTCACAAATGCTGTCACGTAGACAGCGCGGTGCTGCGGATGGAGCGCCCATGTCCCCGTGCTAATGGCTCTACCACAGCTGTGAACGCGTGTGCGTGCGTGTGGGTCTGCTAACACACTCTTCTACTGCAGTCTGTCGGCTTTTGCTCGGTTTGTCGGCATTAAACATTTTGCTTGAGCTTTCAAGGCCTTAAAATACTCTATCTCAGGCTTTGCCACTATCATTAGTGTCTGTTGCCATTGTGTTCTAATGCCAACAGACACAAGACTGTCTATCGCATTTGTTTCCCAATGACAATCTATGCCTTTTTTGCCTCTTCTCCCAGCTGTGTGTTTCGTTTTCCTCTCTTTCTCATTTTTTTCTTTCTGCCATCATACACGGAATTCCCTGCTTTAGTATTACCTAGAAGGAGCAAATTACATTATTCTAATACCAACAGCCTGCTACAGAACCATTAATGTAACTGCATTACCTAATTGAGAAAATTGAGTAACACAAGATTTTGTTATTGTAACCTTTGTCCTTAAAAATGTGAACTAATATAATCCAGCTGCTAAACTGGAAAGCAGCCATTCCTTTTTCCTAAAGATCATGATTCATGGTACTCCAGAAAAGCAGCCAAGCTGGCTTCTGGGGTTAGTGGTCTCCTGGAACGTTACCTGTGCTCCTGGGAGGGCTCCAGGCTGCTCCACTGCTGTGAAATTTCTGCCACCTAAACTGCTGAGCCCGACAAGCTCTTTCCCAACCAGCCAAGCTGGCTTCCCTAATTTGCTGAGATGAGCACAGCACCTGGTCGAAGGCACATCATGGGAACAGGGTTGCCACACAGGGCTCCGGGAATAGCTTTATAGTGAAGTGCTTCATCCTAAAACAGAGCCTGCTAGCAACTGTCTGCTCAGCCTTTGACCAAGTCATGATGGTCAGATGGGAAGTTCTTGACAGTCATTGTGTATTTGCATATTTTTTTATTTCAAAGTTCTACGCAAAGGAAATGAGCTGTCAACATTCTGCCTACTTTCAAGTGGCTGTGGTCTGAATGACCTTTGGCAACTGAACTATTGATAATTCTGCATGAATATTATTCATGACCCATACTCTTCAGAGATGCTGTAATGCTTTGAGCTTTGAATGCCCACACTCTTCATACAACAAGTCTTTTAAGTTTGAGCTCTAAAGTACGGCTTTGGTGAATATAGTCCTGGATGTCATTGCTCAAAATCTTGGCAACATATATTTGAAAGCAGAGATGCTGTTCTTAGCTAGAAGAACAGCATATGTCAATTGTCCAGACAGAACAAGTAGTAGTAGAAATAGAGCTCTGTGATTTATCACTGCAGGCAGCAGAGATCGCTTGGCTGTGAAGGATGCACACGCTCTGCTCCTTCACACAGTGCTGGTTTGCTACCAGCCCATCACAGCTACTTTCAAGAACTTCATTGCAGTGCAGTCCACATGTGACTTTGTGATATGACCAGCTGCAGGAAAGATAAATGTTGCCCAAATGTTGCTTTTTATAAACAGTTGCATTCTTTACAAGCAAGGATATTTGTTTTGTGTGCTTTGAGAGATGGGTAATTGTATATAGTTACTCTGTACTTTCTGCTCAAATTTAAAAATGTTGGTAAATCTACATCTTGTTTTAGAGCATCTTATCTGATGATTTTCAGATTAAACTTTTTATCCCTTCTGCTAAGAGTACAATGCAGAATACATGTAATGTTTGTATATTGTTTGCATGCAGAATGTGATTTCACTTAACTGTTTTCTGATAGACATTTTAATGAGGAAAAAAATGTGTTTTTGTTTTGTTTTGTTTTGTTTTTGTTTTCCTTTCAATGCTGTGGTTCTTCCTCTTCTCTTTCCTCCTTTCTCTTACATTTATTTATTCTTTGGCTTGGCTCATGGCTTGTGCTCCAGTACTCCACATGGAGCACACTGTCGTCAAAGCGTGAAGAGACTCTTGTGTGGTTTTAATCAATTTTTTAAAAAGAGGTAGAAATATGATCTTTCTCATACACTTTTCATCCTGTATATTCAATGGCAGTTTTGAAATAAATGAAACAAAAACAGCCCGTGCCTCATTTCTGTTCTTTTTGCTTTATAATGCACAATCTAAAACTAGGTAATCCAGTGAATCAAGTGATGAGCAGGTTCAGATATGCACCATGTGTACTTTGGGATTTAGTCCAGTTCATTTGCCTGGCTTTTACTGAGAATGTAGAGAACAGAGCTAGACAAATGCCTCAAATGTCTAACTTGATATGGGACAGTTAAAAGACAAGTTTCAGGTCACTTAACTCATATGCTGTTTCCAAGCCTTCCTTAACAAGAAACCTAAATGTTAAGCAATTATAAGTAATTTCCCCTGTTCCAGAGTTTTTCATAAAGTGAATTCTCTATGATCTTGCTGCTATACAACAACTTAGGCAGCAATTACCACATAAGATGATTTGATTCTGCAGCTGTGCTTTATTTTAGATATTGTACCTAACTATATATACAAAATAATTCAACAGAGATATACTTGCTGCCATAGATGTCAAACTAACTTAGAGGGCAAGAAACTGAATAAACATGAGGTTCAGAGATTTGCCAAAAGGCACTTTTACTGCACAACATCGTATCAGACCATTTTAGGTCAGTGGCAGAAATATCTTGCCCATCCATGACAACCATATGACACGCACAAAAAAATATTATGTTTGTGAACAATAAAATAACACACTGGGATATTTCAAAGAAGAGTACAAGAAGGTCAAGAGGGATTTGGAGGAAGCCCATAAAACAGCTTTGCAGGCCTTGGTATAAAGATCTTTTCAAGCACAGCAGGCAAGACAGAAAAAAAATAAAGTATTTTTTAGAAAATATAAGAAATGGGTAATTGAAGTTAGTAATATTGACAGAATAGAATAGAAAGGGATGGCAATGCTGAAATAGTATGTGAGAATGCAAAGTCTTAGTTTAGTAGCTTAAGAGGGACCATAAAGACCATAAATTTTAGGCTACTGAATGAATGAGAACATGGGCCCCACAGGGCAGTATGGGCCTCGCCAGAAGGCAATTCTGCGAGGTTTTAACCTTCTCAAGGTTAGAGCCAGGCTCTAAATGAATATGGATGGATTCAGTGTTAAAGTATGCCCTGCCCTCTCCATTTGATGTAATCACAGGAGAACCTTTAAAACCCAGCATTTGGCACTGCCTTTAAACACTGCAGCAGTATGGCAGCTGGCAATAAAAGCAAAACAGAAATATGTGAACCCCTCCCAGGCCTCCTGCAAATTTGGCAGCACACTACACAAAGGACTGTCTATTCTATTCATTTGATTATGAACTTGAGCAATACATGTATCTATACTTTTGGAAAGAAATTGTTATTTGCCTGAAATTGTAAATCCTTCTTTAAAAGCCTAGTGCAATCAATTAAAATCAGAGCAGCCACCCAATAAAATATCTCATGTTTTTCAGAACTGCAGAAGTCCTGTGCAACTGAGAGTTGTCCACAAATCTCTGAAGAGATATAGCCACAGAGCTCAAATTCATACTTTATGATATTTGTCGAAATGCCAGATTTTTACATATCTTGATTTGATAATTATTAACTTTGTTTTCTTTGACTAATGCTCAGTTGAAGAGAGATGGAATAATGGAATATATTTTTGCTGGTTTTAAGTTTTTACAAATTAAGGATCTAAAAAGAAAAAAAATCCACAGAGAATTTTAATTCTAAATTCAAAAGACAATGAATTAGCAATGGGCCTTTCAAGTCCTCCTTATTACCCCTTTCCATTTTCTATACAATCTGACGGAGACCATTCTCTTTCAAGAGATATTTTCAATTTCATCCTTGTTCTGTTGATACACAATCTCTGGGTACATCATTTTTCAACATAATACTACTAAAGTCAATTAAGAAGATCTTTCAGTAAAAAGAAATATATATTTAAAGAGGTTTTTGGTCATGATGGGGACAAAGTATTTTCTTCTGCAACATGGTTGTTGTAGGTAAGATTTAGGGAAGTCACAGAACTTTCACAATTGTCTTGTGCGCAAAAACCTAGATTTGTAATGTGCTATCTGGTCGTGATGCATGTGATGAGGCAGCGATGTCCACAAATAATGTGGAAAAGTGAACCAAAATTCCATGAAAATATATAAAAAAGGGGAAACAAAAGAATGAGCAATGCATTTACTAGAAATGCTTGTCATGGTTATCTTCTCATCCCTGCTGTGAGGGGGTAAGGGAGAGTTGTGGCTAATATGCTCATGCTTCTGGCATGTGAACAACTCAAAAGCAATAGCCTGGCGGAGCACAAAATGAAGGTGGAGTGTCAGTTCCCACATAGGAACTTTTATTTTTATTTATTTATTTATTTTAAACTAGGGGCAGGAAGTTCTGTCACTAAATATCCTGGAAAAAAAGAGCAAGTCTGAGAGAACTCTCTACACAGGTCATAAATCATAAATGTTTAGAGCTGACAATTCTGTTTTTAATTCTGAATTAAGTCTATATGGAATGATGACAATAAAAATGAACTGTGCCCCTTGCTGCAATGCAAAAGGAAGAGCCCAGATATCCTGGCTATCCAAACTGTAAGATATTCTGAAGTAGAAATGAAAAATCAATTTGTATGACTGGAAGCGATTATTTATATCCTTTCTAAGGGCTGCTTGCAGTATTTGATGATTAAACAAACACCTCCAAAAAAACTTCAGTGAAAACTCTGCCAAAACATCACAAATGTTGTGGATGGTGGATAGTCAGTATTTCTAGGGAAGTTGAGTCAGGCAGCTTATGTCATAAAAATAACTGATGTAGTGGTTTTAACATTTGCACCTTCTCTCATTCACAGTTATATTCTCGGATCCAGGAAAAAAAAAGAGAGAGAGAGAGAGAGGAATCTTATTGCATTTATTCCATCTTGAGGTGTTTCTTCTCATATATGTATATTTATAGAAAGAATGATATGAGAAGATTAAGGTGGTATTTGTTTACTAGCTGAGGTCAATAAAAACGATTTCTAAAAATATTTGATTTTGCAGTGCTCTTGCAG